CRKAWTACGTTTTTTTTTTTTCTTTTAATCATTTAGCGAAAGGGAATCGAATGCATGTTTAACAGAAAATGGGGTTTTCTTTGCTCAATTTTTACTTTTTCTTCACAAAATAAGAATCATGAAAACGATTACGAGCGCAAGGGAGCTGGGACTAAGTAGCCTCAATTACCGTACAAGCACGGCTGGACCCGGCTGAACTAGGCTCAGAGGCTCTGAACAAAGCCGCGAACAGGAGACCAGTCCCTAACCTCTTTGGCTGTATTGTCCGCGCAAAGCGTGGGAATTAAGGGCGAGCTCTTCCATGACGTCACGGTTCACGCAAACAAGTTCCTGATTATATCTTCTTCCCCTTGCAATTTCCTCTTGCTTCAATTTGTGCATCCATTTTTTTTTTTTTTTGCTTACAGTAACAGAACAGTGTCGAAATGAATGGGTCAAGGAATCGACATCGAGAAATCAGAAACTTAAGCTTAAAGCAAGAAAAGAGAAATAACATGAGAAAAAGGACTCCTTCTGTAAATTATATAATTTCATCTACAACTAACTTTTTTAATTGCAGTTCAGTTACTTTAGAGACCTAATATCGATTATTACCCGTCAAGCTTTTCAATTTTCACACTGCCGTACCCAAAAGGTTCTAACCAGTTGGCTAGTAAGGCTATGCCGGGCCAGTGGGCGTGACAACTTACAATTGAACGGCTGTGATAAGAAAGGCCGGAGTCTGAGGTTAAGGGAAAGAGTTAAACTAAATCTGAGAGAAGCCTGAAAAAAGGAAGGTACGTTAAAAGGTTTATTACTTATTTTATTCAATGAATATCTCGCTCTAGGAGGCCTTTTAAAGCAACTGGCGGTTTTGTGTGCACCTAATGGTTTTCTGAGCACCACGCCAACCGCCTAAGTCTATATTATCAACCAAATTTCATGTGCACCTGTAGTACAAACAGATTTGGAAGGGCAAATCCGGTCTCCCAAAGTTTATTGAGAACTGGCACCGCATCAGATATATTCAGAAATAGCATCAAGAGCTGACGATTAATCAGCAGAGATCGCCGTTATGGTGTAATTTCTGTCAAACACTGTCATCCGTTGACATTTTCCTTTTCGATCATTATTATTACGGTCCTGCGGGAGTTGATATTTAAAAATAATAGATTAAAAAAAATAAATTTCTTGTAGATTCCTCAATAACTCATTAGTAGCACGACCATGTGAAGATCATTGCGCCAAAATTAGCCATGATTTTCTAACTTAGGCGAACAAGTACTTGTTGCGGTTGAATTCACAACGATGAAAAGGTGCTAAAAATGCATAAACAACTCTATAAGGTACGCCCTGGCGAAAAAAGCCGTTCTTTTAATCTCGTGCACGCCCTAGTGAAAAAGCCTGAATTTCTTTCATTTAATTAATCTCGCGTAACTTTGCAAGAGAAACTGCATCTGAAATCTTGTTGGATGTTTTTTCACAGGCGTCAAAGAAAACTGTGCCGGAACGGTGTACAAAGGGGAACACAGGTAGTTTCTAAAATAAAACTTAATGACACTGAATCTCAATTGGCCCCCGGGGATACGAATGAGATCGAAGACAGAAATTGATGCCTTTGCTGGTGAGACTCTGTTGATAAAGAAATTTCAAAGAGACCACAAATAAGGAGGATCAGTAAAAAAATCTAAAATTTTTATTTGCAAAGCCGAAAGGCAAATTTGCCCATGGTTTAGGTGCTCTTGATCTGTCAAACAAAGGATCGCCCACGCAGCATGGATTATCAAAGTGATACAACCGCATGCAAATAACAGAGTTCTTTAAGTTTGAAAATGCAAATTCAAAAAGGGTTAAAATAAAGGAANGTAAACCTTGGATGTTACAGTGCAATTCAAAAAATGGTGAACAACTGAAATATGCCTGAATTGTTACTGTGAACATTGTTTATTACTTTTTCATCAAACTGTGTTCTATCCAGAATACCCCAATCAGGTTTGTGCCACTTGACTAATACCCACGACTTATTTTGGTGTTCACATTTTTTTCTTAGTTGTACTGTAAATAGTGAAATAATATTGTATCTGATGATCGAGGAATTCTCCATGAGGGTGTCAACAATATACTTCAAACCCTTGATCATTCTTTTAAAAAAAATTTAAAGCCTTGGAAAGAGAAACCAAACCCTTGTTTATGTCCCCTTTTAATTAGATATTGCTTGTTGATTCCTTCCTTTGAAACTGGAGGGTTGTTTGACATTGTCTTTATGTGGGTGTGCCATTGTCGAAATGAGAGGAAAAGAAATGAAACATTGATTTGACTTAATGTTGGCATGCAGATTGGATGAAGAATGCATCCAGCCCTGTAATCTTTAATTTATAATTATGTTAAAACAAGAGATATTTTAGCATTCAATTACCATTGGCTGTTGTGTGTCTTAGTAGGGAAAGCAAAGAATACCATGAAAATTACAACTGAGGTACAAACAACTTTGACTGGCAAGTGTGATTAAAAAAATTGCCCTGCAAAACTTAGTTTTCTTTTATGAACAAAGTAAATGATCTTCTGATGCATGTAATGTACATAGATTGAGAACTGAAATTGATTAAAAACAAAATTACATGGATTTTATCCTTCACTTCAGACTGTATGCATAATCAGTGTACTTAGAATGTAGGGAACAAAGTAAATTTGCCATTACTTAGACATGATGCTAAGTGAGTTCTCATACTTTGAGTATCAAAATTTATGAATGTGGGATCTTCTCCAAAGACCAGGCAGGTGGAAAATGCAATTGCAAAAACCCCACAGTCACTTCCATTTGTTTGCTGCTGCACTGGCATAGGGTTAAGAGCAACCAAACAGCCCCCTAACAAGTCATTCGTTTGTTCTTCAACCTCTTGGGTTAAAACAGAGTCATGATACAGGCTGTCATAAAGATTGACATGTCCCAGCTCACATCCAATTGAGCTTACACACACCCAGTGACTGTGACCAGTGTGCAAAATTTGTATGAATTCACCACTGACAACATCAAAATTTCTAACTGGGCCAAGTGTTGGTCGCTGAAAGCCTTCTATGCTTGAATTCTCACCACGCAGCAAAACTTGAGCTTGGTGAATAATGTCACAGTCTAGCCATCCAGTGGGACTAAGAATTAAATCAAAATGGGAGTCAGTTAGGTTTCCCAGAGGACTAGACTTGTCACTGCTTCCATGAGTGACTTTAATGATAGAAATATCACTTTCCTCTTCACCACTTGAGGAATCTGATGAAGAACAATACTTGGTAAGGGTGGTGGCTGAATGGACAGTGGCAACTTTATTGCATTCAGAACATTTCCAGGTTGTTTGATAATTGTTGGGCATTCTGTTTAAACCGAGGCAGGAAAGGTGGAAAAATTTTCCATTTTCACAGTTGTCTCCATGGCATTCTACAACCTTCTCTGTTGTACTAGGCTTAGTCTTGCAGATGCAGATGCTGTCCAATTTCATAGCTGCCTGAATAGATGCTGTAGGGGGTTGTGCTGATGTCCTGGTACCACCTCTTCTCTTGAACTGGGGAAGTCGAGAGCAGTGAGGGCAATACCAAGTCTTTGGCTTTCTCAAGGCAGTGAGCGAAAGACAGGAAGGGTGAAACCTTTTGTAAGGGCAATTTTTGTTACTGCATGAAATGGTTTCCTCATGTCTGATTTTCCTGCAAAAACAAATACCATCCTTATCTGGTAATTTGGGAGGCACTGTACATCTTCTGGTATACCATCGCCCTAGAATTTCTGGAAGAATACATATTCTCCAAAATGTTTCCAATTTGGGCAGTACAGAGTTCCAATGCTGCACATCTGGATATATGCGCAGCACTATTAAATTCATGCTCTTTTTCTCATCAATGGCACAAACCACAAACTCACAATACTTGATTCCAGGCACAGAGAAAAGCTGCTGCTGCACCTGATAGTAGTAGCTGTGATTTTTTCTAAGCTGTAAATGTCCATTCACTTTTTCTAAGCAGGAATTCTTCTGCTGAGCAAAGTTCTCAAAGTTGCCATGTTTGATTATAATCGGGCACTTCACTTCACCGCATCCAGTGCCACAACAGTCACATGAAACTAAGAAATCAGGAGTGGCATGGAGAAATTCATGTTCTTTGTTAATAAACAAGCCACACTTCTTAACAGTTAAGTTCACATGACCAGTTTTTACAGCAGCTTCGTATGCATTTACAGCATCACTTTCATGCCTCTTACCATGCCTGGTAGCTTTAGTGTTAACTATGTAGAGGCTTGGGTAACAAATTGTGTTAATCAGAGACTGAGAGGGCTGTGCAATGTTTGTGTGAAATGCTGCGTGACTTTCAGACGCACCAATTCTGCCAGCACGATGTCTAAAAAATCCCGACCCACTGGCTTGATCTCTTGTGTTGAGTTCCACTTTGTTTACGTGCTCATCAGAAATATCCAATGTCACTTCAACACATTTTCTTAGTAGTTCTGGATAAGCAAGATCAACATTTCCCGTTTCAAATAGATCGGGAATAATCGGCAGGGAGCGGCTCTCATCGATAAACTGGTCAGCATAGGGATCGATGAAGCTGAGAACAGCAGCTTTAATTTTGCAAGCATTTAGCTTCGCATACACAGCCTGCATTTCTTCTCCTGATAGAGACGCGATGGGCGAACTTAGATCGTCCTTCTCCGCTGAGTTTTTCTGTTGTTCCCCCAAATTTGGGTGCAGGGAGTCGATTATTTGGTCCAGCGTCTTTTTAAGCTTTTTCGCGGACGAAAAGTCGATATCCCGCACCTTCGAGTACGGCACTTCTCTAACATACGTTGGCAGAATCCACGTGCACTTAGTTTGAGTACATGCGAGTTTCCCTTGGATTCTTGTCACTGCTTCGATATAGAAAAGGACACTTGCTACGTGCGAGCAGGATTCAGCAAGGCCTGCCTTGCAGCCTAAGCAATGAGCTGAAAGAATGGTACCATCACTTTCTGCGATGATCCAAATGTCTATCAGAGGATCGTTCATCCGTTGCGAATGTTTCACCTTCGCCACAACAACAATCTTGTTGAGAATCTCTGCTCCTTGAACCGAGTTTACCAAGCCAGACACCACTTGCTTGTACGCTTCAAGACTTTTGAAAGCTTTAAACTGCTTATTTGTATAGTAACTTGTCTCGAGAACTAAATAGGAAAGAAGGTCCGAGACTTCAATCGGGGGCAAACATTCTGAGTGGAACTGCTCCTTTGGAATGGCTGCTGGATCGACACCGACCACAGAAATTTTCTTTAAATATCGCTCTCGAACACGGCTTTCTAGGCCCTCCGCATAGCTCGAAAGCACGGGTATCCTGAGAAGAATATTCTCTTGCGATTCTGGATTTTTTTCGCTTGAAGTATCCATAGAACAAAGTATTTGAAAGAGGGCACTATGGAGATGGCACTATATTTGCATGAAATTTCACACCTGAGATGAGCACCAACATGGCGGACGATTAATTTGCATAAATGTATGACGTCAGCTGCAAACCAGCAATTGGGCCCCGGGGATACGAATGAGATCGAAGACAGACATTGATGCCTTTGCTGGTGAGACTCTGTTGATAAAGAAATTTCAAAGAGACCACAAATAAGGAGGATCAGTAAAAAAATCTAAAATTTTTATTTGCAAAGCCGAAAGGCAAATTTGCCCATGGTTTAGGTGCTCTTGATCTGTCAAACAAAGGATCGCCCACGCAGCATGGATTATCAAAGTGATACAACCGCATGCAAATAACAGAGTTCTTTAAGTTTGAAAATGCAAATTCAAAAAGGGTTAAAATAAAGGAATTTAAAAAAGGGGACTGTGAGTCGTTATACCTTCATCTTGAATAGAAACAATTACGGCATACTGTTCTCCGAGGCGATTGATTAAGGAAACTGTACTCTGACAAGAAGAAAATTCAGAGAATAAGCAATTGAGTGCGTTAGCATAAAGCATTGCCGAAGTGCAAAGTGCTGAAAGGTTTTTTACGGCTGATCATTGAATTTAACCCCGGGAGAATAAAGGAGTGGTTACGTGTACTTAATAATTATTATAAATACAAATGTAATGCACTCTGAGTGCACGTGGATATCATGCGAGTAATGTCAGCCAATCATTTTGAGGATTGTCACATTCTAAAGTTAGATTCCAGTCAAAACAAGTTTATATTCTGCTGCGTTTTTACCTAGACGTGACGGCTCACATAACGCAAACGGCTCTTGTCATCAACTCAACCAGCTCTGCCAGCGACTACCAAAATGCCAAGAACGCGCAGAACAACTGCAGCGAATGAAACAAATTCATCATCGAGATCGACATCTCGTCGGGCTCACTCTCCTGCGACAAGTCCAGAGTAAGTAAACAGCGCAATTACTGAATAACACAAATATTTTATAAAAGGAAAAGTGGGTTCTCATGATGATTTTTCTTAACTGATTTTCCTTCTGATGTAATCGCAAAAACTCATATATTTTTTCTGACCTCTGGTATTCCAGTAAACATCGCTAACTGTTTAGCGTGCATAGTCTTGCGAAGTGATTTTTTCACGCTCTCGAATTTTCCGTTCGTTTCCGCATACTCGCTTGATTGTTTTTGTTTTTATTCAAAACTACATGATTGATCGTTTTTGCTGTCGCTCACGGGCAAGTTTACATATTCTTACAACGGTTTCAGTCGAATAAAAGTTGGAAATCTTGTGCGCGATTTTTCGGCGCGCTGTAGTAAGGGCATTAATTTAGCTACAACTGCATGGCTTCCTTTGGTAAACCCTTCCTTTCAATCCCCTGACAGACGATAGCCCCTACCTATTGAACATGTAGACACAGCGCGTCAGTTGCTTGCAACTAGCCTTTATGGCATCATGTCTCCACTTATTTACAGTATCAACAAATTTTAATAGAAAGCTTTGGATAGGGAAAAATGCCTGCACATGACGGAGGAAAATTGAAGAAGGTACTCGACTACTGCAGTACACAAAGATTCATACCACATATTGACATGTGGAACAAAAGCAATTTGAATATATATAATTTTTTTTGTCTCGCCCACGTGGGAATAAGTGTTTCACCGCAATGAAGCGGATCTAACAATTTAAGTTGTCATGCAAGTCAATGGATTTGTGTCTAGCCTTCTGGTAAACTTTACGGGAAGCTTTTTTCTTTCATGTTTAACAAGTCAAGGATTTAATATCCCGCCCTTGGATTAACTTCATCAATCTAGTATTAGCTAGCGGAAAGAGCGTCTGTGTTGCTGTGGTAACCACGGAGTCAGAAAAATCTCGAATCGAATCACTCGAATTCTTTTCTGTCTGTTCATGCCGCCACTGCATCGATAGTCTAGGCTGTTCACACACCGGCATATATTGATTCTGCGGAACCTTAGGTACTCACATAATCAACATACATATAGAGATGTTAACTAATATCAATATAAATGGGTCTTTTAGCACGTCTTCCCCTTTGCTATCAGTTCACCTGCGCAGCAAACAGTTTTGTGGATGCGCGGGGGGAAATAAAGACGGCGGAGCTGCGAAAACGATCAGCGGTTATTATTATTATCATTATTATTATTATTATTATCATTATTATTATTATTTTTATTTTATTCGCCAACTTATTGTGATACAAAATGAGTTTACAGAGATTTGTTACAATATAGCAGGAAAACCCAAAGAAACCATAGGGCCTATGCAACGTGGGCTTTCCATGATAAATAACGATGAGAAACTAGATATTAGATTAACGGAACAGCAGCGGCAGAGTATAGATGAAACGAAAAAAAAAAAAAAGAAAGGGGAAGGGAGTAGAGGGGAAGGAGCAAGTTAAGAGAGAAGGAATTTCTTTAGATTTTTCTTAGAAGTAGATACACTTGCTGAACTTACAACGTCGGGACTATTCGAGTGAAAAGCGCCTTCAAAAGCGCTCAAAACTCCAGCTTTGCAGGCTGGGTTATTAAGCTTTTTCTTTCTCATTGGTATTCCCTTTGTTTGAGGAAAACAACAAATTAGTACCGCAGTAATACTTGAGTAAAATCGAGTTATCTGATTTTCCCTCCTTGCACAGACCCAAGCGACGAAAAAATGATCAAGAACTTGGGCAAGACTTGCCGTAAGTTGTATCCATTAGCTTTGATGTCCTTAATTTAATTTGCATCAATTCTTTGTTCGCACTTTAACTAATAAACGCAAGGAAAAATAAAATTGGCTCTCAATACAGCGAACGAGATGAAGACGACAAAAAAACTGCCCAATAAAGTTGCTTCACATAATGGGAACATTTAGGTTCCTTTACCCTGCTTTGATGCTCATCACTGGTATTTTGAAATATTTTTTCCACGAACTTCGGAATTGCGCATGCACAGGTACGCTTTTTAAGAAGTAGTAAGATATTAAGATTATTATTAAGATATTATAAAGCTGACGTTAATTTCGTAGTCTCTTTAGAAACTCTTTATAGTAGCCAATTCACACTATCAACTTAGACGATAATCCCAAATTATCTTTTATATATCCACTTACCCCCTTTAAAATCAAATGTAGCCAACCACCAATAACTCGAATCCCCCGGCGTTAACTGGACCCTTGCTCTAGCTTAAATCAAAATCAATTTTCCCGGATTTACTCGACACATTTATCATAGAACAAATATATATGAAATACATATATATGAACTGCGGTTATGAAACGTATATGTGCACGATCCTTCGCAGTAAAGCACTATTTAAGCAATAGTGAGAATCAGACCTGAAAAAAATTCAGGCCTGTACGTGATTCGAACCACTGACCTCTGCGATACTAGTGCAGCGCTCTACCAATTGAGCTAACAAGCCAACTGGGAGCAGGCCATCAAATTAATTCGACATAAACCCGTAGATGAAAAATCAAACAACAAATATATATGAAATACATATATATGAACTGCGGTTATGAAACGTTTATGTGCATAAACGTATAAGTTCATATATATGTATTTCATATATATTTGTTGTTTGATTTATCATCTACGGGTTTATGTCGAATTAATTTGATGGCCTGCTCCCAGTTGGCTCGTTAGCTCAATTGGTAGAGCGCTGCACTAGTATCGCAGAGGTCAGTGGTTCGAATCCCGTACAGGCCTGAATTTTTTTCAGGTCTGATTTTCACTATTGCTTAAATAGTGCTTTACTGCGAAGGATCGTGCACATATACATTTATCATAGAGCACATATTATGCATCGAGAGTGCACTGGATTTAAAGTTGCAGTCTCTTCCGCAAGTTGAAACTTCAAGAAGTCCGTTTTAATTGGTAGTGACTCGAGAAGCCACGCCAAGGCCAAAATGGGTGAGGGTCTGGAAGGAAGGACAAAGCTGACAAGTGACGAGAACTTCAAAGCTTCCAACAAAGCTTTAAGGATCAATAAGAAGAAGCCACCAGGTAGGCAAATACTGGCTAGTTGCACGGAAACCTTTGCAAGTGTAATACGACGATGTCTCTGTCATTTTTTTATATACAATACGACTGACTTGACATTATGAGGACCCCTAACTGATGTACTTTTGGTAGTCCGTTTAACAATTGATTGATTAATGCTTATAAAATATTGTCTTTTAGCATCCCAGTTGAAGCCAGAGGGAGTGGATTTCCACATAGAAAACAACAGGCTTGCCCACAAAACAGATAGCTATGAGGCAGAACAGCTGATCATCAGAAGGGGACAGAAATTTGACGTCACTGTGACGTTTAACAGAGAATACAAACCTGACATTGACGTCATTCAACTGCAGTTTGTGATTGGTTAGTTTTAAAAGAAACTTCTTGCACATTATGGTGTTGTAATTTTTTTTTATTCAATAGCCAAGGATTGCGGATTTGATTCCTACTGTGAAGTGTAAGAGGTAGACAAATTGTGAAAAAGAGACAATGTAAACTGAACGTAGACGCTTGAATGAGGGTTTCAATGGGGTTAACCGTTTGCCGAAAAGAGGATTAATCGCAATGCATAAAATTAACGAATATTAGCCGTCACTCGCAAAAAATGTTAACTTTAAATATTTTTTTCTTCCGAACATAATGAAAATAAATTAACCGTTAGCCGTAATTTGAAAAATGGTCCCTGTTTAAGTGTCAAGTCCCCCCCTCCCCCCCACCCTGCAAACGTGGCATAACCGCATAAGACTCTTCTCGATTGTGGAAATCACAACACACTGAGTCACTTCGTAAGGTTAAAAGGGCTATGTTCAGCTCGTCGATCTAAATTCTAATCCCATGGCCTATATAACCAAAGTTGAGTCGAACACCTTCTATTTCATGGAGATGTGGTAATATGTAATGGTGCAAACAGGCAAACTAGGTGGGATCACAAGCTGTTGTTCGAGAAATGTTTCGTCCGTCCTTACTTGAAGATTCGGTTCCCAGAAAATGATGGAAATCGAGCCTTGATAATAAAGATAACCTGATATGCCTCCAAATTAAATAGCTCCTCCTACCGCACCACTCTGCTTACGCCCCTTGAACGTGTCGCATTTTCTGTCTGATTTCTTGTTTATATGGTATCTCTAGGTAGTCGTCCCCAAGAAAGCAAGGGCTCCATTGTCCGAGTCGCCATACAGGAGATCCTCACCCCTGCCAAGTGGGGAATGAAAGTAAAGCAAATCAGCGGAAAAACTCTTCAACTTACTGTAATGCCTTCAGCTGAGGCTCTGATTGGTCAGTATGAAGTATTCGTGGAGACAAAAATGACCGATGACGAGAAACCAGTGTTTAAATACAAGGATGACGACACAATCTGCGTCTTGTTTAACGCCTGGTGCAAAGGTAAATATACCGGCACGCATGATGAAAATAAAGTGAAAGACAAAAGCAGTAAAATCGTTATTGATTTGTTTTGGTTGTTTTCTCTTTTTGTATCTTCTTTCTAGTTCCTTTTCGTCTCATTTCTGAGTCTATTTTCATCTCTAACATTAACGAGTTTCTTTATCTTCTCTGTGAATACAATGTACTCCCATCTTTTAAGAAAGAAAGGTTCATTTCTTCTCCACTATTCTATTTCGATGCAAGAAATGATCATAATAATGAATTTGTCATTAGGAGTTTCAAATATAATCCAATTTTCTTGTGATCACTTTGTTGACAGAGGACTCCGTATATATGGAAAGTGAAGCTGATCGTGAAGAATATGTCCTAAATGACTTTGGATACATCTGGGTGGGTTCTGCAAAATGGAATCGGGGAATTCCTTGGACGTTCGGCCAGGTAAAAAATAGATGTCGGTGTATTTAATTCCATTTACTTGTTCCTTTCTTTACTTAATTTTTTTTCGATCTTTATTCTCCTTTTTTTCTCATATTACGTTGGTATATAAGTGAGTGTAGCTATCTGCCTCTTTAATGATTAAACAACTTTTATATCTGTTTATTTGTTTATTCTGAAATGTATTGCAGTGCAATATCAGTATGTGAATACAAGTCAACACTCCGCTCGATTAGGTTATCATAATTACCATTTCTGAATGTTTTCCCCTTTTTTTGTCCCATTATTGTTAACTCGTTACACGTGTTTTAATGTTCTTATGACAAGAAAATGTTGTTGAGAAAAGAACTAAACATTGTTTTTCAGTTTGAAGACGTCTCGCTAGAATGTGCATTATGGTTGCTGGACAAAGCAGGACTTTCCGCCACTGTGAGATCCAGTCCAGTCCATATTTCACGAATTATTTCCGCAATGGTTAGTACAGCAATTGCTTTGTAAATACTAATTATCTTTTCAAAGCTACCTGGTTGATTTTTTCCGGAAGTTGTAGTCAGTACTTTCCATAGTAATATCTTTACGATGAATAATGCGATGCTCAAATCATTAAGTTGGAGTCATGTTATAGTCCCTTCACTCGTATGCGTGACCTAGACAAAATTTCTCCCAACACTATTAATGCAATATCAAGCAGACAAGTAATAAGAATAAATATATCTTATTAGACGTTTTGTTATGTAGTATCGCTGAGTATTTTTACGAGTTGTGCCGTATTTTGACGAGCCCGTAGGGAGAGTCGAAATACAAACAACGAGTAAAAACACTCAGCGATACTACATTTCGGCTCCACTACGCAGTACAACATTAATAGAAAAACCATTCGGTTTATTTTGGCTGTTTCGGCCGAGCACCGCACATATAACAATACGTTACACAAAAACTTTTATTACATTCAAACATGTAGTGGAAAAACTAGAACAGAGCTGAGCGACAGTTTACACAGAAAACTGTCAGAATAGAGGCCAGAAAAATCCTGCCGGAAAAACCCCAATAGGGAAAAAGATCCGGCAGGAAATCTGGGTAGGATCCATGGCTCATGCTCTGGAAAGCCCATCCTACGAAGGCTATACGGCTGGAAGGTCTGTGTTCTTATTTACTAAACATGTATTCCAACAAAACACGGAAAACTCTAAATAATATTTGGAAACGTAAGCAAGCTAAGAAGCCCTTGCGAAACTCGAACTGTCACTGTTAAATCAAATAAATAAATAAATAAATAAATAAAAAAAAACGTGAGCAAGACGAGGAATATTGGCCTAGAATGCTTTCCCACGTGACGAGCATCCCTCTTAAGCTCTCCATTCTACCCATACTTCTATTTATCTGCCCCAGTAACCACTGCTTCCGTGCCGCAGAAATATTAGGGACTTTACGCAGTCAGGACGGCAACGCAACGGAAGACGTCGATTAAAAAATTAGTTTCTACTTTTAGTTAGAATTTTGAAAATGGCTGCATGTGTTGACCGTCTCATAGGGCCCCAGACCTCAAACTCAACATAACGCATACAAGTAGCGTTGAGTTACAAATGTAAATTAGAATAATTTTCCGTCGCGGTTTCGCTTCGCAGATGACGTAAATTTTGGTGATTTCACGTTGTTGTTTTACAAAGGACGCCTAAGACGTGTACAAAGTTTTAAAACGCATGTGCTGGACTATTGTTCTGCCAATTAGATCTATTGTCTCTCCACGTTCGCGTTGCCGTAGCCGTCGTGGTTCATTTCCGGCTAATTCGTAGCCACTCAAACGCCGGAAATTCCATACAACATGGGTCGCACTTGGCAAAGTTTGGTGTGAAAGTGGTCACTTTGGTGTAAAAATTTGTCATCGGGGCACATTTCCTAATGCGACCCTAACTTTTCCAGTTCGCAAAAACTTTGAAAACCGGCCAAAACATCAAAGACGCCGTAGTGCTTGGGTGGGGGAGGCAGATTTCGGAAAACTCGGGCTAAACAATAGCTATCACAGCGGTAACTGTCATCGCTTGTCAGTAAACAGCAAACGACTCGACTGGTCGCGGAACTGACCAGGCATATGGCGCTCGAAGTAATCTTCGCTGACGTCGATTTCTCGCTCTCATCATAGCGGCAGTTAAACAGGCGTTAACCCATCTTTCATAGATCATACGAAAGACAAAAAGGTGCTCGTGATTTAACTGAATAAGAAGAATAAGCATCACCGTGATCGTTATTAACAATGCTTCAACGGGACGCATTTTTTTAACGTTTGTTTTCCTTTTTCAGCTCACTGCTCTCTCCCCTTAACACGTCGATAAACGTGTGTCTGGTTTATCAAAGTGTCGTCACTGACATTTTTTTCACCTAGTGCGACTCTGATAGTTAAAACCAAAAGTTTGCTTTCCGGTTGCGGTTTCAAATTTCTGTGTTTTTTTTGCAGGCAAAGTTGAAAACTTTGCCCAAGTGCGACCCATACCTTCTATGAGATTTATATTCCAACACGCCAAATTGATATTTCAGTGCGGGCGAATTTCAGTAACGGATATTTCTGGATTACAAATATCTTGTGATATTTGTACTCGTCTCGCGTGTTATTTGTACTTTACGAAGCACAATTGGATAATAAGAAAAAATGGTAAATTGATGAAGAGAATATAAACTAAGTTCATATTCTCTTGGAGTTGATCCAATACCAAATTCTTCAAACTAACATTATAATAATTGTATGGCAGACGGTAAAGAGAATTACAAAGATCTTGGCAGTGAGAGAGTTTGTAACTTCGTCAGTTTGTCCATTGATCTAAGTCACAATTTTGCAACCTGCGGTCATTTGTTATCTGTGAACATCCTATTTACACTTTACCATCCTTGTTATTCTTAACGTATACTAATGTCTGAAGTATTTTTTAAAACCAGGTAACGTTTTCACGTTTGTTCTTTAACCAATCTGACTCGACCTTTGAGCCGGGAAACGTAAAATAAGTATACATATACCTGATAGTTACTGCCGTCTTGGAAAGAAAAGTAAATATCGAAGCTATTGATTTAAAAATCAAGACAAAAGCATGAATATAGAGAGGTCGAGATCTTACGGAGTCTTTTTTTATTTTGAAGGCAAACTAAAATGACAGAGATGGTGGAATTTTATTTGGACGCTGGACTGAGACTTATCCCAAGAACTGCACTCCGCCAACCGCTTGGACAGGAAGTACAGCCATTCTGGAAAAATTTATGAAAAAGAAGTTTTATGTGAGATATGGCCAATGTTGGGTGTTCTCAGGATTGGTCACTACACGTAGGTTGAGCGGGATCTGGATGCTTATATTAATTAGATTATTTGTATGAAAAAAGAAGTTAATTTGACGACTTGAAAAGCATGAAAAGGATGTCCACTGGTTTATTAAGAGAGTCTCAAAAAATTAGCCTTTGGGTGCAAAATTTGTCAAGTTTTAACAGTTAGTCGTAAAAAAAAGTTAACCGTAAACTTTTTCTGTCAAAAATAAAAAATTAACCCTTAGCTGTAAATTCTGGTTGAATTCTCCTAGATACGCAAACTTTGAAGAGCTACACATGCCTTAATAGTTTTATTCGAGTTGAAGGAGATTATACTTAGTTGTATAACAATTTTGTAGAATCTTCACTTTTAAGCACGGCTTTGTTTTGTTCTTTCATTTTTTAGTGCTGCGAGCGTTGGGATTACCCACCCGTAGTGTAACAAACTTTGAATCCGCACATGACACTGACAGTAGTATGACTATTGACTTTCATTTTGATGAGGAAGGCAATCCATTGGATGACCTCAATGATTCCATCTGGTGAGTGGAAAAACTGCCTGTCCTTCAATCTAAGCTTTTCTGTAATTAATTGGTGTTGAACTCTGCAGCGAGGGTGGCAAGCAGCGGAGTTAATTGATTGTAAGATAAATGTTTTTCTTTCCATGGTACTTTCGCGTATTATTGCAAATTAACCAGTTTTGGGCCCGACACAGAATTATCTTAACCCTCGCTTAGCGGCTGTGGTTAAAATTACTCTGAGAAGGGCCCAAAAACATATGTAATGTTTAAGTTTGTAGAAATTTTCACCGGCATAAATGCGAGCTTAAATCGAGAGGTATGAGCTGAAGTTCTGGCTTGGTTCGTCATTATAAGTGTTCTTGGACGCCACAATGCCTTTGACACACAGTGGCCCTCTTACAAATCAGTTGTTTCACAAAATAATTTTTCTCTCTAAATATTCGTGAAAGAGTTGCCCACATGTGTGGGCGTATCTTGAAAACACGCAATGAATGTTTATCAGAGAAAAACTCGCATAAAAATTTCATCTCTTATTTCAGGAATTTCCATGTGTGGAACGAGTCATGGTTCAAGCGTCCTGATTTACCAGATGGACATGATGGATGGCAAGCGCAAGATGCCACACCCCAAGAGACAAGTGAAGGTAAATGAAGGTTTTTTTTTTATCATTCCAGGCCTCGATCAGTATAGGAGTACTCTCTATCTTATTCCTTATTGTTTCTTGGGGGTGTTTCCAGTTGCTAGGGCAATTTTTCACACTAGTCTAGTCTTACCGGAAAATTTAGGTATGGCTTTTTCAAAACAGATCACAATGATTAGCTAATAAGAATTTCCTCCTTATACATTGATAATAAACAGCAAGAAATTCAGTTTGAAGCCTTCGAATGTACGCTTCCCTCAACTAATTGTCAGTGGTACATTTTTAGAAGGGTGGATTTGGGGGGGAGGGGGGATAACATCGGGCATGGCAGTTTTCGCTGGAAGTTCTTATATAGGAATAAATCTTTTTTTAAAACCGCCTATCCAGGGAAAGCTAGCTAATTTGCTCTTCAAGAGAAGGCCTTGCTAACACTAAACTCAGTCCTTTTTCAAAAACGCGCTTAAAACTCGTGCTACAAGAGCGCAGTTACTTTGAGGTGTTAAATGCTCTGCTTCCGCTTATACGGCAAAAAAATTAAAAACGACGTTTAAGAAAACGGTAAGCCAACGTAGTTCTCTTTTAATGGTTAACGGCGAAAAAAGTTCTTTCCTTTTTCTGTTATTCTTCAAGAACCGTGTTCACGTTATTTATCCCTTGTAAGAGGATGCGAAGATACCGTTGAAAAATCCCTCGTGAAACGAGAAATGATTTCCTGTCGCATTTATTCATTACTACCCAGGCTTTTCCCGGCCTTTCTGGATTAATTCCTGATACAATTCTTGGCTTAAACTATTGAATTTAATTTCTCCACTCTCATTCTCCGACAGGTGTTTTCCGTTGCGGTCCTGCCTCTGTAAACGCAGTAAAGAACGGCTAGGTGTATCTCCCTTATGACACAAGCTTCGTTTTTTCTGAGGTGAATGGCGACCGCGTGTACTGGGATGTAGATGATGACGACGGCTCGATGAAGGCTCGTTATGTGGATACTCACAGCATTGGCAAGTTCATCAGTACGAAAGAACCTGGTGAGGGCCCTCGCAGGTTGGACGTCACTTCACACTACAAACACCCTGAGGGTTAGTGTTGCAGTCTTGTATCTATGTTTAGATTTTACGAAACATTTAGAGGAAGTACTAGTAGGGAAGATTTTTACAGTGGGGGTGTTTCTCGTTAGCGAATTACTGGCACAAGGGGCAAACCAGCTTGAATCATTCTTATACAGTATAAGTTTCCTCTACAAAGAGGGAAGTAAAACGCGTTTAAATGAGTATCTACATCTTGTACTTTGCAATACGGTTTGATAAAACAATAAAACAAACGAGCAAACAGACAAACACTCAGAAAATCTCAGAAATAGTACCTAAAGAGTAGCTTTAACTCAGTTGGAAAATTTTGACAACAAGGAAAACTGGAAACACAACGAGTTAATCACAAAATGTCATTAGAGAGAAAATGCGAAAACGTGCGTCCATTTTCAACAGAAAAGAAAGCAACCAGTTAATGAACTCGGTAAGATTTCTCTGTTGTTTCTTTAATGCATCATAAAAAGTATAACTTGGCTTAAAATGGATGGTCAAACCGGCCGCGCATTATAAGTTGAAATTCACTCCTGTTGCATATCGTCGTTGATTTTGTTAGGTTCTCAACAAGAGAGAAAAGCTGTCGAGTTTGCCTATAAATTTAGCACCAGAAGAGAGTACGACATTTACAAAGCTGACAAAGAGGACGTGGAATTCAGCCTTGACGTTCTGGATGACATTGCTATCGGTAACAGCTTCGACGTCAAAGTTGTGGCGCGTAACAAATCAGACGAGCAGCGAAATGCCAAAGTTAACATCACTTCTGTCATGGCGTTCTACACCGGAATTCCAGCAAAACCATTGAAAAGAGAAATGAAAACAATTAAAATTGGCCCAGGAGAAGGTACAATTGATGATTACATCGCAATTTTAGGCGGAGATCAGCAAGGTGCTTGCTTACCGCGCCGTATAATTTTTAACAAATCTAAAAATATGAACGTTGTGTTTCTGTTTTAGAGAATGCGGTGATCTTGAAGATTGCAAGTGGAGATTACATGGGTAAGATTGTGGCAGATGGCAGCATCAAGCTGTATATTAAGGGTACGGTTCAGGAAACAGGCCAGTCCTATGCCACCCAGGATGTAGTGGAGTTCAGGAAACCCAAGCTGACAGTCACGGTATGAGACTGATCGTTCAAACCTGACTCAGGTTCAACCCTTTATCTTCAATCAGAGTGAAAATTAGTTGACATATCATGTTTGAAGAGTTCTATTTATGGGAAGAATGACAGTCCTGTTTCTACCACACTCTAAATCATTACATGACAGACCTCCTCTCCCTCATTCAGTGTTCAATAAAAGTTCATGGAATCACGATACAACAATTTTCTTGGGGGAGGGGGCGAATAGGTTAACTTAACGAAGACAAAAAGAGGTAGAATTGATATAATGAGGGTTGAAAAGATCAGTGTGTTAACAATTTTGTCGCCGTTGGTAGATACATTATCCGATAAAGGGCGAAAATCCCTTACCACTCATGGCGTTTCTCCTTAAATGGATAACAAATGTGGAAAAGCTAGAATGAAAATAGTTTACAATTGTGATAGAAGTGAAAGCAAAGTAGGATGCTCTTCGAGCGGATTTGTGATTATGCATGGGGCATCTATGCCTGATATATTGATTGAAGCAGGACTAAATGTATGAGATAAATTTTCTGTTTTTGCCATCAATTCAGCTCGAGATCACTTTACTGTTTCAGTTTACAGCAGATGAAACAACCTTAAAAAAAAAAAAAAAAAAACCAAAAGCATGTTAAACTTTAAGACCTCGCCCCATCATATATCACAACATATAAAGTAACTGTTTTGCGCCGAATATAAGTTACCCGAATTCGAAGGGTTTCTTGGGGGAACGTTAAAACGGGATAATGAATGATAAGCTAAAATTGACAAAGGCGGGCTGTAATGTGGACGGAAGGAGATGGAAAAGGATTATATGTTTCAAAGTGGAAAAATTCAGATCATATTTTCAGAGTGCACATTGAACGTTTGTTATAGAAAATAATAAATTTATTCTTATTTTGTGGTCAAGTCGTTGATTCTCAGTAAACCCATCAAAATCAATCAAAGCAGCGCAAACTGAAAGAACTGCTGGCCAGGAGAGCAATCTGAAAATTTGATCTGTACTTCCACTCTGAAACATACAATCCGTGTCCATCTTCTTAAACCACTGAGAAATTTCATCTTACAAAGCACATGTGATCTGTCTGAAAAAAGTGTATCTCTCCACAATCGGGCCGAACAAACCTTATTCCAATTTTATGCACCGCTGTCCTCAATGTTCTTACGCCCAGATACTCGTTACTCATATTTTTTTTTTCCACCCGCAGGCATCTCCTAAGTCTGTGAAGAGGCGGGAAAAGGTGGAAGTGACAGCGTCATTCAAAAATCTTTTGCCAGTCACTCTGAATGATGGACACTTTCGATTGGAAGGAGCTGGATTGTCACCGAGGTCGACGGTCATTAACATGTGAGTATTGATTTAGTGAGTTGTCGCGCGTGATAATTCGAGAGGTTAAGATATCATAACTGAAAAGCGGACTGCCTCAAGATTGTTAGTGTTGATTCCTTTTCGATACGTATCCCGAAAACATATTCTTGTAATTTTGATTTTGTAAAACCCTTGGCATGCATGCTGCAGATATAACTATTCCTATTTCTCTTTACAGTTGGCTACACCATAACCTTTCTTTCTTTGCCCCTATTTGTTGTTTCCTTGTTTATTCATTCTTGTTACTTTTCTTTGTCAGAGATTCCGTGGCTCCTAAGAAGGAAGCTAAAGTAAGCGCCACCTTTACCGTTACCCGAAGCCGCAAGCGAACCGTTGTTGTCAGTTTCCAGTCGGACCTTTTGGCTGGAGTACGAGGGGAATGTGTTATCAATGTGACTTAACTTAAATTATATTCAAGTTTGCCAGAGTTTCTTGGGTCAAATGGACAAGTGTCATTGTTATACGCATACGTTCTTGTTTCCATTCAACCATTAGGAACAAATTTGACTCAAATCCTTCTATGGTGCAGCGTTTTTTTATTCAGAAAAATGTAATTTGACCCGAACGAGTGATGTGTTGAAATAAAAATACCAAAGACCTGGTTTATCCAAATACATTTGACGAAGTATTCTCGTGTGAACTTCCCCTGACCTTTCCCCTTTTCTTCTTCGTTCATAATTTTAAGATGGCCAACATCCTTCAAAAATGGGCATATCTAAATAGGATTCCTCAATGATAGTCGATGAGCGAGATCCCCGAATATATTGCCCTGCATAGAGATCGGGAACAAAGAATTTATTTTTTTTAGTATAAATCTAACTGTCGTTTTATACGAAACTATCAGTAAGACGTGCTCACATAGCCGTACAATGTTGTGTAACTACTTTACACACTTTCTATCTCGGAATAAATAGCGATAGTGCAGCCAATCAGATTGCAGCATCTGTGATACAACGCTTTTAACTAATTTGAGATATCCGTGTAAAGAGGCTGGGTCACAGGCTTGGTCTTCCAGTAAGAGAAGGGTTGTCGTATTGTCTCGCAGTGTCTTGCTTCCCGGTTTGGGGCCATGGCTGGTTGTCTTATTCTTTGATTTTGGACTCAGGAGTAACAGTTGAATTAGCTTGAATTATGTCGCTCGCCCGAGATCTTATTGCGAGTAAACAGAAAACTCCTAACGTGATCGACAATGATTAAAGTTGAGAAATCTTTATCATTCAAACAGTGGTGTTAGTTACCGACAACAAATACAGCGTTGTTTGTTTCTATGGACCAAAAGAACAAAGGCTTCGTATTGAACGCGACCGTCCTTAAAGAACTGTGTTGCCGTGTTTTATAATTTTGTTTTATCAAATGAGTGGATATTGTAAATTGGCCTACGTAAAGGGTTTCTAGAGCTGTCTTTTCAAGCGTTAGCCCTTCGTCAGAGCGAATGAAGACTTCCATGAAGACTTTGACTACACACACATGGCCCGTATTTAAATGCATGTTCACAAATACATCGAGTACTGAGACATCACTTTTGAAGGAACGTTCAAGGACTCTAAAAGCGTTGTTCGTTTCTGACAGCGAAGGCGTCGTTCGTACCGAACATAATTTCATTAACGTATGCAATTACACAAAAAGGTTTGTTCTAATTTTATGTTTATACATGTGATAAAAAATCGTAAGACATAACTAAGGATTTCGGACCTTTGGTAGCGTGACTTTTATGTTAAAGAAAATGAGAAAGGCCACAAATAAGGAGGATCATTAAGCGAGACAAAAATGTTTGTTTCCGATGTTTTAAAGTAAATATGTTCATAGTTAAAGGTACTCTCGATCAGTAAAACAAAGCCGGAATCGACATAGCGTGAATTATCAATAAGATACAACTGCATAGAAGTTTCCAGATTTCTCAAAGTTTGCCAAAATGCAAATTCAACTAGAAATAACTGGCGAGTTGTTTTAAATAGAAACAATAAGTATATGGTTCTCTGAGGTAATTTATTAAGAGAGAGAGAGACTTTATTTTAAGAGGGTAGCACGTGACAGTAGTTAAACCGATAATCCTGTGGCCCTCTATTAACCCACCCATCTCACCCCAGGGGAGGACATCCATCACACAGTAATCTCGTGCGTGGGAAACTAACGTCTCCTAACCCAACCCTGCAGGAGATGGGACCTCCATTTATTCGTCCCTATCCGAGAAGACTAGAATATCTAACCATTTCTTGATGTCATAGACGGGTAGCAAATTCTTCTCAATTATTTTAAGACCCTGAGTGCTGGTCCGGTAGGGGCTCGAACCCTCGACCTCCGGCACAACAGTCCAACGCTCTATCCATAGAGTTAACCGGGAGGCGGTTAGTGGTAAAATTTTAGTAAAATTTACTACACTTTACTCTGTCAAGAATGAAAATACATAGGAAAAGCAGTCGAGTGTCGAAGTGCAAAGTGATAAAAGGCTTTTTGGTCATTGAATTTTAACTCCGAAACAACGGAAGGGCAACGTATACGTTAAATCATCGTACAAATGTGATGCACACTGAGTGGATATCGCGTGTCAATTCTGGGTTTACCGTTGGTTGAAAGGCCTACATGACTCCGCAGAATGTCCAGTTTTCTCCATATTTTGTTCGATAATTTTTTAGTCTTCTTCTTACCCCTTAAGTGTAAGGTATCGACAAACATGGCTATCGGTACAGTGAATGCAATGTAGACGACAAAAAAACAGCACATTAACACTGCTTTGCAGCATGAGAACATTTCGATCTCTTTACCCTGATCTGGTTATCAACAAAATTACTTCAATCAAGTTTTCCGCGAACTTTATCGATAAGCATTACCATTACTAACGTTATACATTTAATTGTGAACAAAAGCAGGTTCGCATAAGTTAGCCTTTGACGAAGGGCTGACTCTCGATCTCGAGACTTCAATTTGAGAGTCTCTTTGAAGTGGCCATTTCACATTATCAATTCAGTTGATAAAAACCAAGTTATCTTT